CCCTGCCCTGTCCCCTCGCTGTCCCCAGGAGGTGCTGCTGAAGCGCGCGGCCGACCTGGTGGAGGCGCTTTATGGGGTCCCCCACAGCAACCAGGTGTGCGGGGACCCCCCTGGGACCCCCTTGGGACCCCTCCACTCTGGGACCACCGTGGGACCCCCTTGGGACCCCCTGGGACCCTCTTGGGACCCCGTGGGACCCCCCGGGACCCCCCTGGGACCCCTCTGGGACCCCCTGGGACCCCTCTCGGGTTCCCCCACCGCCACTGTGGGTGGCCCGGGAGGTGACACCAGCTGGGACAGTCACAGCCACCCCCGGCCCGTCCCAGGGTGACCCCATGGGCTCTGTGGGTGGTGGGGTGACACAGGGTGACACCGAGGGTGACATCGAGGGTGACACCAAGGGTGACACCGAAGATGACATCGAGGGTGACACCGACGGGTGGCACCGGCGGGGCACCATCGAAGGGTGACAATGACAGGTGACACTTTAGGGTGATGCTGTGCTGGAGGGTGACACTGTGGGGTGGCACTGAGAGGTGACACTGAAGGGTGACACCAAGGGCTTCCTCTGTGGGGTGACAATGTGAGGTGACACCAAGGAGTTACTCTGTGGGGTGACAATGGGGTGACACTGTGGGGTGACACTGAAGGGTGACACTGTGAGGTGACACTGGGGTGACTGTAGGGTGACAATGAGGTGACACCAAGGAGTTACTGTGTGGGGTGACAATGGGGTGACACTCTGAGGTGACACTGGGGTAACTGTGGGGTGACAATGAGGTGACACCAAGGAGTTACTGTGTGGGGTGACAATGGGGTGACACTCTGAGGTGACACTGGGGTAACTGTGGGGTGACAATGAGGTGACACCAAGGAGTTACTTTGTGGGGTGACACTGGGGTGACACTGGGGTGACACTGTGGGGTGACAATGGGGTGACACTGGGGGGTGACACCGAGGAGTTACTCTGTGGGGTGACACTGTGGGGTGACAGTGAGGTGACACCGTGGGGTGACACTCTCAGGTGACACTGGGGTGCCACCAAGGGCTTTCCCTGTGGGGTGGCACCATGCAGGAGGGTGACACTGTGGCGTGCCACCACGAGGTGACACTGAGGGGTGCCACCAAGCAGTGCCACCCTCGCTCGGTGACACCACCGCCGTGTCCCCAGGACGTGCTGCTGAAGCGGGCGGCTGACGTGGCCGAGGCGCTGTACAGTGTCCCCAGGGCCCCCGCGCATGTCACTGTCCCCTCCTTCGGCGGGGGACAGCTCGGCCTCGCCATGGGCGACTCCCCGCAGGGCTCCGAACAAGGTGCGAGGTGGCCTCGGGGTGGCGGGAAGGTTGTTGTCCCCTCCCCGCCTGGTGGCACCTGTCCCTGTCCCCTCAGGGCTGTGACCGAGGTGGCCTCGGAGTGGCGGGAGGGTTTTTGTCCCCTCCCCAGGAGGTGCCACCTGTCCCCTCAGGTCTCCCCAAAAAGTGCGCGGTGGCCTCGGGGGGTTGTGTCCCCTCCGCCACCGTGTCGCTGTCCCCTCAGGGCTGTGACCAAAGTGCGCGGTGGCCTCGGGGCGGGGCTGAGGGGGGTCCGGAGAGCCTTCGTCCCCTCCTCAGGCGGTGCCACCGTGTCGCTGTCCCCGCAGGGTTCTCGCGCAGCCCCGGGACGCCCCCGGCGCGGGGGTTCGGCCCCCCGGGCTCGGCCCCACAGCAGGGCTTTGCCGGGGCCACCGGTGGCTTCGGCGGGGCCACCATGGCCGGGCTGGGGGTCCCCGGGTCCCCTCCGAGCTTCCTGAACGGCTCCACCGCCACCTCCCCCTACGCCAGTGAGTGACACTGCTGGGGACACCTGTGGGGAGGGGGGACACGAGTTCATGGGGGGGCCCTGGGGGGTCCCCAAATCCGTGTGACAGCTCTGGGGGGTCCTGAAGTCATGGCGGGTCCTTGGGGGTCCCCAAAGTCATTGTGGGGTCGCTGGGGGTCCCCAGAGTGATGTGACAACCCTGGAGTGTCCCCACAGCCATCACTGAGGGTGAGAGAGGGAGCGAGGGTGGGACAGCCCTGTCCTTGTCCCCAGCCCTGTCCTGGCCCATCGGTGTCATTGTCCCTGTCCCTGCCTCTCTCCCTGTCCTCATCCTTGTCCCCATCCCTGTGCCTGTCCCTGTCCCTATCCTGTCCTCATCCCTGTCCCCATGCCTGCCTCTCTCCCTGTCCCCATCCTTGTCCCCTTCCTTGTCCTGGCCCTGTCCTCGTCCCTGTCCCCATCCCCATCCCTGTCCCTGCCTCTCTCCCTGTCCCCATCCCTGTCCCCATCCTTTTCCCTTTCCTTGTCCTGGCCCTGTCCTCGTCGCTGTCCCCATCCCCATCCCCGTCCCCATCCCCATCCCTGTCCCCATCCCCATCCCTGTCCCTGCCTCTCTCCCTGTCCCCATCCCTGTCCCCATCCTTGTCCCCTCCCCTGTCCCATCCCTGTCCCCATCCTGGCTCCTGTTTGTCCCTGTCCCTGTCCTGGCTCTGTCCCCATCCCCATCCCCGTCCCCTGGCGGTGTCCCCCGTCCCCAGCCGAGCCGTGTGTGGCTGTCCCCTCAGTCCTGCCCGCCAGTCCCCCGCTGGGCGCCTCGTCTGTCACTGTCACCTCGGGCCCGGGCACGGCCACCCCTCCTGGTGGCTTCTCCTTCTCTCCGGTGACGATGATCTCGGCCGTGAAGCAGAAGAGCGCCTTCGCCCCCGTGCTGCGGCCACAGGGCTCCCCCCCGCCCGCCTGCGCCAGTGCCCTGCAAGGTCAGACTGTCCCCAAGGCCACCAAGGCCACCAAGGCCACCGTGGTCTCTGACACCCAGCCCCCGGTGGCTCGTGCACCACGGAGGGTCCCCGGTGTCACCACGCTCCCGTACATGGGAATGGTTGGGCCTGCCCTGTGCCACACCCTTGTGCCTCGTCCCTGGTGTCCCCAGTGTCCCCAAGGTCCCTGACATCTGTCCCTAGTGTCCCCAGTGTCCCCAAGGTCCCTGACATCTGTCCCTAGTGTTCCCAGTGTCCCCAAGGTCCCTAACATCTGTCCCTAGTGTCCCCAGTGTCCCCAAGGTCCCTGACATCTGTCCCTAGTGTCCCCAGGGTCCCCAGGATCCCTAACATCTGTCCCCAGTGTTCCCCAGTGTCCCCAGTGTCCCCAAGGTCCCTGACATCTGTCCCCAGGTGGCCCCAGCCCCTTGGAGGGTCCCTGGTGTCACGGTGTCCCTTGCACCTCTCTGGCTCTCTGGTCAGAGCTCTTCTCTGTGCCACCCCTGTCCCTGTCCACCAATGTCCCCAATGTCCCCAGTGTCCCCAAGGCATGTGACATCTGTCCCTGGGTGGCCCTGCCCCACAGAGGGACCTGGCTGTCACTGTGACCCCTGTACTGCCCATGGGCATGGCTGGAGCTGCCCTGTGCCACCCTGGTGCCTGTCCCCTCCGTGTCCCCAGTGTCCCCAAGGTCCCCGGTGTCCCCAACACCCACCTCGAGTTCCCCTGCCCCACCGAGGGTCCCCGATGTCACCGTGCTCCTGCCTGACATCCCTGCCCATGTGATGCCCACACCTGGCGTTGTCCCATGCCACCCTCGTCCCCTTGTCCCCTTGTCCCCGGTGTCCCCTCCTGACGCTGTCCCTGTCCTGCCCAGACCCGGCTTTCGAGGACTCGGACAAATTCCACGCTCCGGCGCGGCCACTCCAGGGATTGGCCTATTCCTAAGGATGGCGTGTCCGGAGGGGCTCCGGACCCCCCATCCCACCGGGACAGGAGCGGGGACAAGGACTGGGGACATCCCTGTCCCCTGTGCCCACCCCTCGCCTCCCCTCAGAGCTGGGATGGCTCCGGAGCAGCCACGCGGAGCAGGATGAGGGGACATCCCCCCGATGTCCCCACCTGGGTGACCCCGGCCTGGCCCGGCTGAGGGGGGACTTGGGGAAACCCTGGAATGAGCCAAAATTCCTGGGTTTGGCCTCGGGAAGAGGCGGAGAGAGCCGGGAATGGGGGGCAGCGGAGGGCGCGGGATGGAGGTGCTGGGATGGGCGGGAGGGGTGATCCAAAGAGGGATGGAAGCTCCAGAAAAGGATGGATGGTTCAAAGTGGGATGGATGTTCCAAGGTGGGATGGAAGCTCCAGAAAAGGATGGATGGTCCAAGGTGGGATGGATGTTCCAAGGTGGGATGGAAGCTCCAGAAAAGGATGGATGGTCCTAGGTGGGATGGATGTTCCAAGGTGGGATGGAAACTCCGGAAAAAGATGGATGGTCCAAGGTGGGATGGATGCTCTGGGATGGGATGGAAGCGCCAGGATGGGCTGGATGATCCAAAGTGGGACAGATGATCCAAGGTGGGATGGATGTTCCAGGTGGAATGGATACTCCAGGATGGGAGGGATGTTCCAGGTGGGATGGAAGCTCCAAGGTGGGATGGAAGCTCCGCAAGGGGATGGATGGTGCAAGGTGGGATGGATGTTCTAAGGTGGGATGGAAGCTCCAAGGTGGGATGGATGTTCCAAGGTGGGATGGATGCTCTGGAATAGGATGGATGATCCAGGTGGGATGGAAACTCTAGATGGGAAGGATACTCCAGGATAGGAAGGATGTTCTATGGAAGCTCTGGAAAAAGATGGCTGCTCCAGGATGAGGGGTGAATGATCCGGGATGGGAGGGATCATCCAAAGTGGGATGGATGCTCTGGAAAAGGATGGAATCTCCAACGTGGGATGGATGCTCCAGGATAGGGTGGATAATCGGAGTTGGCAGGATGATCCAAGGTGGGATGGAAGCTCCAGAAAAAAGATGGATATTGAGGACTAGAGGGATGATCCAGGGAAAGATGGATGTTCCTGGGCAGGGGGGATGAACTGGGGATGGATGGATGGATGATGGATGATGGATGATGGATGGATGGATGATGGATGGATGATGGATGGATGGATGATGGATGGATGGATGATGGATGGATGATGGATGGATGGATGATGGATGGATGGATGATGGATGGATGATGGATGGATGGATGATGGATGGATGGATGATGGATGGATGATGGATGGATGGATGATGGATGGATGGATGATGGATGGATGATGGATGGATGGATGATGGATGGATGGATGATGGATGGATGATGGATGGATGGATGATGGATGGATGGATGATGGATGGATGATGGATGATGGATGGATGATGGATGATGGATGGATGATGGATGGATGGATGATGGATGGATGGATGATGGATGGATGATGGATGGATGATGGATGGATGATGGATGGATGATGGATGGATGATGGATGGATGGATGATGGATGGATGGATGATGGATGGATGATGGATGATGGATGATGGATGGATGGATGATGGATGGATGATGGATGATGGATGGATGGATGATGGATGGATGATGGATGATGGATGATGGATGGATGGATGATGGATGATGGATGATGGATGGATGGATGATGGATGGATGGATGATGGATGGATGATGGATGATGGATGATGGATACTCCAAGGCAGGAGGGATGATCTGGGACAGGATGGATGCTCCCAGGAGAGATGGATAGCCCAAGGTGGGATGGATGCTCCGGGTGGGATGGATATTCCAGGAGAGGATGGATATTCCAGGTGTGATGGATACCCCAGGACAGGCCGGATGTTCCGGTGGGACCCGGCTCCCCTCACCTTTCCCGGCTCTCTCCCCACTCCACATCCGGAGCTTCACCCACAATTCCAGAATCCAGTCCCAGAATCCTGGATCTCTGTGATTCCCAGAATCCCAGATCCCGGATCTCTGCCTGTCCGGGATCAGGATCCTGGTGCCACCTGGGGTGGGGGAGCACCGCGGTCCCTGTCCCCTGCCATTAATTATCGCCATTATTATCAATATTAATTATCAGAATTATTTTGACCACAGGGCGGGGGGAGGTCCCTGGGTGTCCCTGGGTGTCCCTGTCCCCTCCCCCAGCCGGGAATTTTGTACATAAAACGGGAAGAATTCCCAACAACTCCCCCTTTCCCCACCTCGGGGGTGGCTCGTGTCCTTCCCCTCCGTGTCTGTCCCCTCTCGGTGTCACCGCGTGTCCCCCCCGCCCCGGGCTGGGGGGTGACCCTTGGGGACAATGTCCCCCCCTCGCGGAGGTGGCGCAGGGCGTGGCCGGGGGCCCGAATGGGAATTAAAGACCTCGTGGAAAAGACGCGACTCCCGGGATTTGTCACCCCCGGGATGGTGACACCGGTGTCACCCCGCTGTCCCCACGGCGGTGATGTCCCCACCCCCAGCCTCGGGAATCCCGGGAATGCTCCAGGCCCCTGCCCCGTGTCCCCTCCCCGCCCCCGGCCACCCCCGGTCCCCTCCAGCTGCGGTGTCACCTCCTGTCACCTCCCCCCGCCCCCGCGCGCCGGGATGAGCGCAGGAGGAGCTGGAATTAATTGCGTTAATCAAGAAAGGTTAATGAGGAGGTGGCGGTGCCAGCGCGGGGGGGGGGGGGGGGGGGCGAGGTGGCGAGGG